CACTGGTAACCTTAGCAATAAAAATATAAAAAAATTATTGCTATACAACTGCAGGTTTTCAACATATGTATAAATATTTTAGTTCATCTAATTTTAAAATGAAAGATGTTAGAAAAGCTACATGGTATGTATAAATATCTCATATATAAAGAAAAATGATGGGATCTATAAAGTGAGTAATGAAACGTTTACAAAAAATCACTTTGTGTCTATATTTCAGCACGTGTTTTGTAGTTTTATACAGTATACTTAATTTACCATACGGGTGGAAAACATCCATCAAATAGGTTCGGGTTACCGCTGATCACCAGTGGATTTTAGCTTTGTGATTATGCCCCAACCTTGTTTTGTGAAATATCAAACAAAGACGTAGATTGAAGAGATCCTGGTGAAAAATTTACCCACTTTACACAAACGGTTACTCTGCCATACAATATTGGGGAGCGAGCTGGTCTAGGGGTTAGAGCGAGGGACTTCAGTGCCTTTGGTCCCGGGTTCAAATCCCACCAAATCACCAATGGATTTTATCTAAGTGATAATGCCACAACCCCTAGGTCTGGCCTGAAATAATGTGAAAAACAATTCCGGGCTCGTACCAAGCGTCCTAGTACAAAAAACCATACAATTTTACAATATTATGATTTAACAAAATAACTTTACATTTAATAGAAATATTAATAATACTAAAGCAATATGCCAAGGTAGGATCGGGTGGATGAAGTTTCTCTCTTATATTTACCCCGGTAGCCCGACTGGGTATTTTGGGGCTCTGCAGCCTCTAATGGAATTTGTAATGAGGGCTTATCAGTTACCCCTGCCCAGGTCTCGCCTTATCTACTTGTTTCTTAATGTTACTACGAGTGAATCACAACAGCATTGCGACTGTAAAGCGATAATCATAAATATTGTTATTCATGATTTAACGTCGGATTGTAGCTTTTTTTAATTAATAACATTTAAGGTATCATTTTGACAAGTATACAGGGACCAAAATGTATATTTAGGAAACTAAACTACCATATTTTCAACGCAACTGAAAAACATTTGCTCCATACAATCATAGTTTTTTGAAGGAAAAACCATTCTAGTGCTGTATTAATCTTTGTTTAAAGTATCATAACTGCTTGATACTGATAGATAGTCCAGTAAAGAAAAGGTTTAACATCCAAAAAATTCGAAAGCTTCAAAACTTTCGAATTTTTTGGATGGCTTTGGTTTTGGAAATGGCTTTTTACTTAGTATATAGACACTTTTAACTCCGACCGATGGTTCTCAAGATTTTAGCCAAAAACCAAAAAAGGTGCCCTATTTTCGCTAATTTTCGCTAGAGCTCAGTTCATACTAGTTCATAAATATGAACTGAGCTCTAGCGAAAATTAGCGAAAATAGGGCACCTTTTTTGGTTTTTGGCTAAAATCTTGAGAACCATCGGTCGGAGTTAAAAGTGTCTATATACTAAGTAAAAAGCCATTTCCATCAAAAATTATATTTACACTTTTATTTTTTTCTTAATGGTTACCAAGTTATATAGGGCGCTAAAATATGGTGTTTTTTCTCCAACTGTCGGGGCGCGAACAATGGTGCAAACTAAAGTAGGTATTTTGTTGAGAATAACGCTATATTTTATTGCCCTATAACTCGGTAACCATAAGGAATAAAATAAAAGTGTACGTTTCATTTTTGTTGGAAATTAAATGATCTTTCATATGGTATACAGTCACTTTTAACTCCGACGGATGGTTCTCAAGGTTTTTGCCAAAAAAGAGGTGCCTTTTTCACAAATTGCCGCCAGAGCTCCCCTAATATTTATGGAGACTTTTGGTATAATCTTCCCTAGGTACCTAGAAATATGTGTGCAAAGTTTCAAAACTTTCGATTTTTTTGGAGGTTGGGTCATTCATTTTTATACTTTGACTGAACTATATTACTGAGATTAGTCAAAGCAATTCAGGGGTTTTAGCTGTTCTATTTGCTTTTATTAAAATGAGTTTTTCTTACAAAAGAAATATTGAATGGATTTAAGTGGAATGAGCTAGCTAATACTAATAAATTTTGTTTACTAGTTTTGTTGACCATCAGGTTAAGTTGGGTCTCAGACCACATGGTCATGATAAGTTAAAATGGCTTAAGGCAAGGCAACGGGGGTCGAAATAAGTTAAATTTAATCTATTATAATACTTCTATGTTTAAAAGTATATTGGGACTTAAGGGGAAAACTGGACGAATTTAGTATATGTATTGCCAAATCATGGTATATAGTGAAAGGTGTGCGCCATGCGTATTTAATATAGTAATAAACGGAAACCCTATTTGCATAATATATTTTTGACTAAAACTGTTCTAAAAGTGTACTAGAGTAACCAAGCATAACAAGATTTAATATTTTAGATAAATGGCTCCCTTAAGCACCTTTAAGTTATCGTTAATTGGCAAGATTTAACCACAGGCAGTCCCCTGAATATTTGACAGTAGAGAATGGTTTTTATGGAGAGGTGGGAAAATGAGTTTACGCCACTGAGCTAGAGAAGTCGCGCTGAATAAGAGATCTGAGAATCGTTGGTCGCCTTTTGTAGGAGGCGTTAAGTGCATTGTTAACATTGTGCTGAGAACATTGAAACTAGGAATATAGGGGATTGTGTGATTGTAATAAAGCCATAAGCCAATAAGCTGATCGATTTCCCAAGTTGGTACCATCATAACACCATTAGTGCTACCTCCAGTTGTATTTCTAGCTTATTTGTTTACAAATACAGGTGGCCAGCCTGTAGTGTGGGACTCGTAAGGGGTAAGACCCATAGACTACCCACTAAAACCTACTCTATTACACTATCCCGAGAACACTTGACGCACAACACAAATAGGTTGAGCGTTCTTGTACCCACAGAGCTCTCTAAGTTTTAGCCGTTCATTATCCATTGGAGAACACTTTAGCTTTGTTCTGTGTAAACTGATCTTTAAAATGAACATTAATCTGATCACAGATTTAAGGTAAATTACAGAGGTTTGTTGTTGTCATGTAGTGTTTTCTCAGAACATTGTCTGACACATGGGAGGGAATGTATGGCCAAGTTTTGATAATTACACTGATAGTTAAGTACATAAATATGATTAACGATCAAAGGTTGATTACAGATGATTATTGGTGTAATGCATTTTGTTTTACATAGTCACTTATCTGTTTAACTGTAAGAGAAAATAGACTAGCCAAGTTGGGTGCCTAAATTGACCGTTAATATGATCAAAAATGCAATCGATGATCATAGAGTTTTTACTGATGCGTGCTGTTACCATGTAATCTATGAAAAGAGCAGTCCTATGCTCAAACACAGTATTACAATAGACAAGTCATTTGTAGAGCTGATCGTTCACAGGATCAAAAATAAGATAGTCAATCAATGAATGAGCACATAGTTTTGTGGCCACCTTGTGGTGAACCCAGCCAGTTATCTGCACAATCACTGGACATAATGTATTAAACACGTTATAAGAAGTAAACTGATCATTTAAGAGATTCATAAAAGTGGTCAAAGAGTGACTATAGATGAGCATTGTTTTCACGCAGCCTGCAACCTAGACAGTTCGATGATTTGTGTCGATAGGCAAGCTTGTTGACAGGATCATAAATGTGATTGAGAATCAAATCGTATTGGTTGACTTTTGTCATGTAGTTTCACTCGGTTAGTTCTCTATGCAATCACATGAATACACAGAGCCATGTTCTGATGTGGAAACCGATCATAAAAGTGCGTCAGTCAAAGAGCGATTGATGAGATCTGATTTTGGCATGGTGATTTCCGTGTATACGGACAGTCAAGATCACATAAGCCACGGTCGGATGTGCGAGTTGATCATTAACGGGATCATAAATGCGGTTTACGCTCCGATAACGACCCAGTTCTGCTGAAACTGACCAATTAAATCCAAACCTGGCTGCCTAAGCTTCCTAGAACTGGGAAGGCGATCGAGTGCTTTGTATCACTAACAATCATCAATATGAGTGAGCAATTAGGATGTATTCCGAGATTTAATTTCCAATTAGATGGTGCAAAATATGTATATTTTTACGTCCTCGTACGTTATGTCTGGCAAGAACAAACAAAACAAAATTGAGGTCCAGTATTTTATGGTTGTAGTGTAAGACTCACAGTAGATTTAAATATTGTTTATTATTACAATCAATAAATCACGCAAAAGTTTTTAATGGTTATCTTTTAGTAATGCAAACACAAGTTATTATTCGTAAGATATACAATATTAATGTAGATAAAGATGCAACTTTTTTTATTTGGCCAAATACCAAACTGTTCTGATATTTTAACCTTAGGATTTACAAAATATTGGTTAACTAAAAAGAAAGAAGCACACCTTAAAACAAGAGAAACATCTTAACACAGGAACTCCGTCGTCAGGGACTCGAATACCGTTACGACAATGAGGGACTTTGTTGACGGGCTTCTTGGGAACCTTCAACCTTGCAGAGTACTCTCCGTGGAACTCATCAGGAACCTGCTGAAGAAGTCCCTCATCTTCGCCACCAATCATCGACTGATCACGCAGGTAGCTAAGCATAATTTTATTTCTGCTGATCTAATAGGTTTGTTACCATCTTGTAGTGTGAGATTTAATTATGTTAGCTGAGATGTTTTTCTTAGACACGCATGTAGCGGACGATGAGAATATGCTGTAACAAGAGGTAGACGCTCGTGAAGAAGTGGTACTAGTCACCAAGACAGTCATCCAGACTTCTTGCTTCAAATTAAGTGTTTGTGGTGGAAACCCAAAACGTATTTACAGTATACACAAATTAAAACATAAATAACTCATTCCACATTACCAATCAATCGAAAGAAACTATTGACAATAGGGGAAGGCGTAAAAATTGGGATGAATGAAAGAAATATCCCAGGAATGTGTAGTTGGGCGCGCCACCGCTAGATCGCTCCAGCCGGCGATGCGCGCGCATCTTTCCCGGTTCTGTCAGCCCAGTTGTCGTCTGCTAGCAGACGGTTCAGGTGCGTGTAGTACAGTGGCGTGTGTATGAGTGACAAATAATGGGTGTACTGTTTGTGTGTGCCGTCACAGCATTGGTGGCCCTGACGACGGTCTGCAACGCTCAGAAAAATGGTGTGTAAATAGAGATTAGAAGATAGGGTTAAGAATTTTGTGTGACAGTTTTTTTAAGGGGCGGTAAAAAATTGTGGTTATGATGAAGTGTTATTGATGGTTTAAGATTGATTTATGTTGATGGATAGTGGTTAAGTCGTGTGCACTGTGCATATCTAAGGTATGACATGATTTTGATAACGCAACGCTTCAAATTTGAAGTAGGGGTAGTCTGAAAAATATTTATTTTTTGTGCGGGTGATGCTCGGAGATTGTGTTTATAATCAAGTTTATCTTTGTGATGATAGTACCGGTAATGAATTGTTAGTAGATGGATTGTTCGTAATGAATCATGTGCAGACTGCAGATCAATAGAATTTATGTATAATTTTAAGATAATCTGCTTCAGACGGTTTGTATGTAAGGGAGTGGTATAAAATGTTGGTGTTTATGGCAAAATAATTTTATCTTTTCAATGGTTAATAAGTTAGATAGTTTATCAGTAATAATTGTTTTGCAGTTTTGTGGATTTGATGAATTGATGCATATTGCAGAGTAAATATTTTTTACTTAGGCACATAGTTATAGAAGTTGTAATGCTTCAAATGTAAGATAATTCGTATTGCACTGTATTAGCTAATGTTAAAAATGTAATTTATACAATTGTACATATATGTACTACCGATATTTCTGAAACAATTGAGATTTTAATATGACGAATTGTGGAGGTATAACTTGGATGTCACTAGGCTTACCAAGGAAATAATATGAACAAATGTTTTTAATTGTAGATTATAAAGGAAAAGAATGTTAACAAAACATAATCTTAAGAGTTTTTAGCCTTTATTTATTAATAGTGAAGGGCATAGACGTATGTGGTTCTTTAAAAAGTTTCATTACAATAGATACCAAAGAGGTATTCTACAAAAATAAAGCTAAATTTTAACCTCAGAAAATATATTGTAACCGTAAGATTGTTTTACCACGTATACAATTTTTGTCTGAATATTATAATTTTACAAAAAACATTAGTGACACAGGTCTAGAATAAAATGTTTAAAAATGTTATTGATTTATTCTGGAACATAAAGTCTCTGGCGCCAGAGAGACTAACATGTTTATTAAGTTCAAATTGGCAATTACGACAACCGTGTTTATTGAACGTAATTAATCAGTTGCCATTAGTGTTGAGGAGGCTGTAATGAGTATGGTGTGGCATATGAGAACATTTATTGACAAGGTCTACTATTTTGTGTTATTGTTTGTTTATGCCATGGTCAAACAAGAGTGGTGACGCAACTATAAATTGCAGTGAATGTTACTTAATTTAGGCTATGTTTTTAGAAAGTGTTATTGAGATTGATGAATGTTTAGTTTTTCATTTAAGAATTGCCATTTCTCTACTTTGGCCATGAGTATGATTAAAGTAGAGATTTTGGTGGATAAGTAGTTTTTTTGTCAATTAATAAGTTTTGAATTTCACTTAAGTAATTGCTAGAAGCCTTATAGTGTTTTCTATGGGATGACACGTGCATAATTGTGTTATGAGTTACTCCAGAAAACATTTTGTAATTTACAAAACATTTAGGGTAAATACTAAAACAGTACGGGTGCACAATAAGCTGTTCCAGTTGCGCTGCAATCCCATGATTACTTGTAAGTTTGGCCCTCTATAAAAAAAAAAAATAACAAATTGTACGAAATAAATTTAAATTGAAACAACCTCTTAGATTTTAATCGAACTTAAAGAATAACTCTTTATCAGTGAGATAGAAAGACAACGTTTTACTTAACTAAACATAATTTGTTCAATAACATTCATACCTTACGCTTTTGTTACGGTGTTAAGCTCATTATCGTAGTTACGCTGTCTTTAATCTTTCCTTTGTGAAGAACGAATCGTCTTTTTCTTGTTTACGAAGGATTGGTTTGTGTACGCTTTAATGATTCAGTTATTTATATTGACAGTGACAAATGCAAACATCTTTCTCTGTCTACTAGCAGGAAATCAAATAAAAGTCATTATTCATGCTCTGGTGGGGAATACACGAGATTGTACCACTAATGTATTTGAAAATTCAACATAATATAGCTATAAACAATGATGATGTTCAGGGGTTTCAGCAGATTCCTAAGTTTGAAGCGTTTTTAGAGGATACGTGTTGTCTTTTTGATCCAATCAAGACAACACGTCTTGATTGGATCAAAAAGACAATTTGACCACCTTGCTTTACACGTAAATTATTTAGGTACCGATGAACTTGTAAATTTAAAAGCTACAAACTTTGTATATGTAATCTGAAAGTACAAACACAAGTCTTACGTTTTAGTCATTGAGTATGTTTTTAATTCAACAAGCCCACTGTGTAGTTCAAATTTAATATTTCACGTGTAAAACTAGCTTTAAATACACCCAGATTTTACTTTATCATAGGCAGTTAATAATATTATGTATGAGGACCGTAGCTTTTATTTATTTCTATAATCAATCAATCAATCAATCAAAATATTATTTATTTCGCAAAAAAATAGACATAACATAATATTATAATCCCTGTACAAAAATATTTACAATATTATTTATTTTTCTAGGTTATATTTAATTTTCTATAAATCACATGTTATCTTATTTCCCAGTATGTTAAGATCAGTTATTCTGTACATGTCCTTACACATGTACAATCATGACACGTTTCACAAATATATGCATATAGCATGTATCCATTCGCATACGTATGACCTGAGACTATGTAACACCTACTTACACAGGCTGGGAAACTTGTGTTTAAGAATTTAAAATATGTATATATAAAATGAATATAACACTTTAAAGTGTCGTTTATCAGTGTAGTGTAGTAAGATCTAAATACTCATTCCTGTTTTGTATGATTTTTATTTAGTTTTGTGAATAAAAAAATGCAATAGATTGCACGTAAACCATATTTTCACTGATAAAACATGTGTTTTCAAAACGTCACAACGGAGACTGTATGATCTTAACAATTAAATCAAAGTTATTAGGTTATACATGTTTACTAGGTATGTTGGTTATGTTTAATACTTTCTAGATATGCGTTTCCATAAATAGTGTGTAGAATTTACAAGTAACTTAAACGAGATCAACAAGCGATTGAACCTTGACCTCTGAAGATGGCGATAGACTACATCGGAATACTTTTAACTCTGGGCTTTATCATTGAATCAAAATACTTTGAGTTGACGTAAGATTAAAAATAAATTTACTATAAACACTTACACTCATCGATGATTAACAATATTGGAATACGTTTAACCGTAGGCTTTGTCATTGAGTATATAGCTTTAAAATTGACAAAAAAGTGAAAATAAATTTACTATAGACATAATACACTTGATACAATACATTGTCCATATTATCTTTATCTGCTGTGATTTCATAGCGTTTCACTCTAATCGTAATAATTTTTAATTTTGGCACACCAATAAACGGCATAGAACGTGTTTAGGCATTTTATTGGTAAACCTGACGAAAAGTGAAAATAATTCGGCTATAAATACACTATACATGCACACAAACTCGCATTGACTATTAGTTAATACATTTAGCGGAGTTCCTTCTACCAATATAACACAAACGAAATACGATAAGAATTGATTAATGTAACGAACAATGTGAATAAACCAATTATTGAAGTGACTACACGTTACATTGTTTGTAGATATTTGATTTACTTTGTAAACTCCGAATCTAAATGCTTTCAAAGTAAGTTCATTGTTAAATTAAATACATAATAATTTGTAAAGTATTTCAAAAATAAATGATCTTTTACGTTATTTCACATTAAATTTGTCTTTCGAAACTTGATTCATTTTGCAAATTATAATTCGCAATCATGGCATTAATTCGAAAAAGCAAAAATAAATTAACCATAAAGTAATTAAACATGGATAGGGTATGCCTGTTACTGTTGGTTTATATTGTGAGATTTAAATCAGGATTCTCTAAAATTCTTTTACTTTTGCTAATTTTGATCAAACACGTAATAGCCGATTCCACTGAGTAAAAAACACCTTTATATTACTCGTTAAAAAAAACCAAGTTAGACACAATTCAAACCCATGGTCAATACACAACCTCTTTAGATGTAAATCAACATTTTTTATTTGTAACTTTTTGTTTGCCGTCCAATCAAAGTCGATTGGACAAAGTGAAAATAAATCACCTATAGTGATTACACATTCTATTCGCCCGTTGACTCTATTCAGTCGTCATCGCGGATGTAATTGTAATTGGAAAAACACTCATGCGAGTTCTCGATGACTGAACGATCCGTTCAGCTAATTTAATTTGTGGATTTTGTTTTCCGATAGCGAGTGGCTTTTAGGAGATGACTGTTTTTGACACGTGATCCATGTAAAAGCCATAAATTGGAATGGGAATGTTTTAAATTTGATTTGAATAGGCCACATGCATTCTGTTTGATTATTTACCATTTTAAATGAAATGCAAACCAGTTATTTCTTTAGGCATGCCCATAAGGCATATTTTACACATAAAAAAAGTATTATAAAAATATATGGTCGTCTGTGGCTTTGGTGTTTCTAGCCAAGTTAGTAGCTTCTTGGACATCAGTGGGATAGGAACATTTTTGATTCACACAAAAGATCAGCAGCTTTTCCTTAAAAAGATGTATTATTTAATTCAAATATGCTTTGGCATAGTCTAGAACAAAATTTACAGCATCTAAATTCAAATTGACTGAAAAACAAACTTGCACACTCAGTCGGTAACTATGCATGTGCAAAAAAAGTCAGCTACTGTCCTACCAGCCTTTTTTTTAGTGTCGCCACAAGCCTTACATGCCTTTGAGCATTTTTACAAATATAGAGGTCGTTGTAAGGAAATGTCTTCTCAGCTGTACACCTACAAGGAGTTAGAGCTATATGCGCAGCACGACCAAGTGAAACTAAGAATAAACTTTAAAATTCTCTGAAGCTTTACATGGAAGATAAATCTGTACGCTTGTGCTTTCAATCTGCGT